ATATATATTAAATATAATGAAACGTTGCGCCCTTTTATGTACTAAACACTCTTACTTTTACTCTTACTTTTACTTTAGTACTTTTACTAGTACTTTTACGTTCTTTTAGCAGTTTTAAGAATTAGAAAAAAATATGGCGACGTGCAAGCAAAGACCATATACAATTCATTGTATACCGTATTTGGTGTGAGTGCTGTTTGCATGAAAGGTTTGATCGACTGGTGATTGGCGATCGATCTGACGAATCATAGCAGCGCAGCCATAAAATGTAGCCATGACAACCGATCTAAATCTCTCTCCGATACAGAGGTGAAAGCTCAAGGGCAAAATAATTTCCCGCGTCAACGTACACCGAAATGAGCACGATAAAATCCAATGCTTTGATTTTCATCTACTTTATTAAAGGCGTAACACGTGTACAAAGTTTCATTGTAGGCCTAACCTTAATAATACGGCGATGAGTATTCCAAACGTATGCATGCTTTGTTCTTGCGGCGATATGCTTAATCTAAACGGGATCTAAACTTACGCTAAAGAACACATTCGCGTTGATAAAGTGTCATGAAGGTAGCAATTTTAAATTCGTCGAAAAGTAAATAGTTAGCAGCACTGCACGCGGCATTATTATTATTATTATTGCTGGTAGGTAGAGTGAAATTCACATATATATGAGATGTAAGTCTCGGCAAAACCCAAAGTCGTGGTTTATAATCACGTTATATGCTTGTCCAGATAATCGGTACAGATTTGTGCGTACTACGTTGTTAAGAAACGAACTCCTACTACAATTATTTTTTACGGAGTGTAGGGAGAAAACTATTGCTATATATGTATATATTATATCTACGTTGCTTGACGGCGCATTGGAATCGGTTGAAATTGACTGCCTTGCAGCTTTACCGGTAGATGGCACTGCGACTCGGTCCTCAGACGCGCTCGCCTTAAATTATTGCAGGTTCTTGTCGACTATGTACTCGCCGAGGCCGGTGCCAGCACGCTCGAACTTGGTGGCCATCGTGGACAGTTCCTCCATGGCATCGTACTGCTCGGTGAGGAACACGGTCTCGACAAAGTCTATCAGCTAAAACACGGGGATATATAACGATGTAGTGTAATATTCCGTTATAGACACAAGCGCAGACGCTGACACACGCACACAGACGAGCACATACACACACGCGCGCGCGCACACACACACACGCACACACGCACACACACACACACACACACACACACACACACACACACACACA